TCCTGTCTGCATTCAACGCTCCTCTCTGTCCCACTCAAACTGTCTCCACATCAGGGTTGTCAAACATGCGGCCCGCGGACCAAAACCGGCCCACTGGGGTGTTCAATCCGGTCTGCTTGAAGACTTTTGAAAATGAAAATAATACACATTCTGCTTGATGACTTTTGAAAATGAAAATAATACACATGAACACATGAAGTTTGATCATACAGGACACGGCAGGTCTCTGAAGGAGCGGGAACTTTATTTTTTTTCTCTAGAAGATTCTATTATTCTACTCTGTTTCTCTGGGAACAGCCGTGAACCAGACAGTGTTCAGCTGAGACGCCGGTTCAGGTGCAGAAGAACAAGTGTTTTAACCCCGAACAGCTGCTGCAGACCGTAATTAAAAAAAACATCCCGACATGAGAAACGCACTCTGTCGGAGGAGTTTACTGGAGAGAAGGAGTGTTTTTGTAAGAAAACCCTGGTGGTCATGTCGCTCTGTGACTGTTTTAAGTCGACCCATCTGGAGCCTGGATGTTGACAACATGTTCCAGTCCCGGGGGTGGGGGGTTGAGGGGGACGAGGACGAAGGGACACGTCTGAGACTCCTGACTGGTTGTGGTTAACGCTCTGTTCACCACATTCGTCTTTTGTCTTTATTGGTGGTTGGATTTTGATGATGTCATCGAGTATTAACGACCTTCATGACAATGTTATTGTTTTCACTGTCTTTAAACTTTTAAAGAAGATTTTTCAATCTGTGAATATTTACCGTGGCGTGTCCTCGGTTTGTGGACAAGAAAATAATTAGATAAATAACGTGATGTGACACAGATGTGTGTGATTTGTGCTCGATTCCCTTCCTGGCACTCTAGCGCCCCCCCCATGTTGAGCTAAGGAGAATTCTTACCATCACAGCGACGGCGGCCCTGAAACAACAGTGTGATTTTGATTCACGCACCCGTCGGCGTCCTGTCAGCCTGCTGTGGAGAACAGAACTCGACGGGCTTTTTTTCTTTTCCCGCCGTTCGTCCCGTATTTCTAATCCCTGTCATTTTTTCTCCGCTGACAGCTGTTACCTGGATTTTTATGTGCAGCGGGCTGTTCTCTCATGATGGCCCTGATGTCAAAGTGCCAGGTTGACAGAGGCAAAATACAGGGGGACACCATAATTACTGCCTGTGCTCCGAGAGCAGAGGAGCTGCCGGACCAGCGGCTCCGTACGCCCGGCCGTCTCAGCGCTAATGGTACACTCGGTGCCCTGGTACCTCTCAGCACCTCTTTCCTGTTTGCGGTCAAACCCTCACTTACTCGCTGGTCTCTCCCAGCTGTAATCTGGGGCAGAGTTCTAAGGTGTGAAGGCTGAGCCAGAAAATGACAGGAGGAAATTATACGGAGGTTTGGCTTTTTAAAGGAGGCGCATGAAAGGAGGCGCATGAAAGGCTGACGTTCATGTTGCCATCAGTGGTTTTTGTGTATTTGAAGATGTAATTATTGCTCTGGATCAGAGGATTTTAAAGTGTAACATTGTAGCTCTTCCTTCAAGGAGCAAGAGAAAACTGCCCTCCCTCCACCCCACCCAAACTGCCCCCCACCCTCCTCCAACCAACACCCACATGTTGCTCATATATTTACAAACGAACTGGCAGTGGAACGGTGTAAAAATGAACAAAACTGACGATGAACACAATTCACAGGCTGCCATAGGAGGCGCAGTTAGGAATTTGTGATCATTGTGGGAATCAAACCCAGGAATATGTGATCATTGTGGGAATCAA